GGAAACGAAATTTTCCTATAAAAAATTCACATTTAAGTCACAATTATTTTCAGTTTAGAAACAAATATTGCACAATATATCCATTTCATCACCTTTACTAGCATGGCCACAGAAGATTTTCTACTTTGCCTGTTTCTCATTTGGCACTCTATAGAATGCTTAGGAATTGTGTGAAATATAAATCATTTTATATATTGCCGGTCAGTTTTAGGCATTATATACAATGCCCAGGCATTCTATAGAATGCCAGATTTCAAACTTTGCTAGTAACATATTTCATAGAACATACAAATGACACAGATTGAAAAAATTATGCTGAAATTCGAAAAATATTGACAAAATTTCAATTACAATTCTAATCGATAATTTAGGAAACAATAAAAAGAAAATCTGTGCTATGTCTTAAGCGCTATCAATTTCCAGCGCGTTTTTTAAGATATCTGAGTTTTGCAATGATTGTTCAGTCAACAAGATTTGAACAAAATTAAAAAAAAAAAGCTTTTTTTTATCAACATTTATTTTGATTGTTAAATATTTCGTACATGCTGCAATTTTCCTTTCCAACACCTCCAATTTTATTGAAAAAAAAGTTAGTTGTTTTCTTTGAATTTTTCCAGTGAATAAAAAAGAACATAATTCTGAGAAGCGGGATAGTTTTCAAGGAAACATAAATCAATGTAATAAAATATTGTTCTTCTTAAATATTGCTCTTTGTAGATTAAATGAACTTCTAAAAGTATAGCAAACTTATTTTTAAATGAGCTGTAATTTTATTTTTCAATGAAAGTTATTCTTCCATTGAATGAAGCAAGAGCCGTTTAATATTAATTTCCTTTTACTTTTATTTATTTAACTTTTTTTTTTTTTTTTTTTTTGACATAGTCTTAGTCTNTTTTTTTTTTTTTTTGCTAATTTAAACAAATTAAAGATTTTATACTCAAATTAAGAAAGACGTTCAAAGATAATCCTACCCAAAGAATAAACTTTTTATAGTTATGTTTTATTTTGTATTATTTTATTTAATTTTAATCGATAAATTTTACACTGCAGGGTACACAAATGTTAATATTATTTTAAACTAAGTCATTTCAACAAAATCCAAAACTTAAATGAAATCAACCGATTAATTAAAGACTAAAAATGTAAAATTAAGACTTTTTTTAAAATTTTTATAACTCAGAAACTGTTTAGCCGATTTCGCTAAAATAGTAAATTTTGTCATTTAACAGTATTTAATTCAAAATAATAAGTTATTGTATAGGTATACAATGCAATGCAAAAATTTTAGATCGCTATTACCTTAAATAGACAAAATAATAAATAATCTAAAAATATACAATTTTGCAGGAGATTATTTTTGCCTTAACAAGTTTTACAACTCAGAGCAAAAAAAAAAAAGTTTGATTAATAGCCCAAGAGGTGTAACGAAACCCTCAGAAAGTGTATTTATCATTAAGGGGTCTGAACTTTCGACCGCTCTAGATTAAACATATGGGACTATATTCTTCAAATTGTGGTGCGGATATCACCCATATTTTGAGGATCAAGAATCCAAATCCGCAGAAATAAAGGATATATATATTCAGAGAAATTACGTTTTCTTTTCTTTTCTTTTTTTTTTTTTTTTTTTTAGACGGAGGCTCNTTTTTTTTTTTTTTTTTTTTTTTTTTTTTTTTTTTTTTTTTTTTTTTTTTTTTTTTTTTTTTGTCTGATCTCGTTAGCTCCAAATATTTTTTTTTTCCTTACACATTGAACAATTAGAAATCGTTTTTCAAATTGTATTAGAAAAGTTTCTTAAGAAAATTTCCTAACAGAAACCAAAAAAAAAAAAAGTATCTGAAATAATTCATTCAATTTTAATAATTTTAACAGATNTTAGAAATCACTTTTTAAATTGTATTAAAACAGTTTCTTAAGAAAATTTCCTAACAGAAACCAAAAAAAAAAGTATCTGAAATAATTCATTCAATTTTAATAATTTTAACAGATTTTATAAAGCAATACAAAAAAATATATAATAATAAATTTTAAATCATTAGTCTAATTTTATTCGAAAAGAAAATACATGTCTATTTTATTAACTAGATGCAGAATAGTTATGTCCATTCTGAAATTGGGTACCTGCAACTTAAGAAGATGGCTCAAATCTCATGGTAGTGTATTGCTTGTTAACTTTACAGCTATTAGGCGAGGATTATTATCACGATTAATCAATTTTCAGATCAGATTTAATTGAATACTTCTAAGCGATGACACGTGTGGGTGTCGAACCTGATTAGCTGCTGAATCGTGACTAATGTCAAGATTTACCCAAGCGTGACGTCGCTTGCAAGCCTCCAATTGCATTATAAAAAAATATGTCAAACAATTTATTAATATGTACCGAATTTCATTTCATTTCATTTTAATATTTCAAACAGATAAAAATAAAAATTAAAAAGGCTTTTTTTTAAGCAGAATAAAGTAGAACATTTAAGAAGAGGAAAAAAATAATCATAAAAATAAATCTTCGCACCTGTTAAAAGTAAGTAATTAACAAAATTGATGTATCATTTATTGTTCTAATTCAATTTGCTTTCTAATTATAATTTTAAAAAAATTTAAAACCTAGCGAATTTGTTTCCTTGTTTCTGAACAATAATTTCAAATTTCTTGCTCAATGCAAGCAGTTGGATTAAAGAATATATGAAGAAAGCTCTTTGCATGCCTTTTCAAAGAATAATAAAAGAAAAAGATGAAACGGAACCTAGAAATCAGTCTTGTTTTCATTTACCCTCAAGGTATTATTCATTCATTCAGGATAGTAAAAATCTTGGCGACTTTTTTTGTAACTGAGAGAGAGTAAAGAAAAATTGCAACCCTGTAAGAGGAGAACCGGATTCGGTAATTTGACGACATGGTTCACGAGTTCCTGCTCCTGTTTCTCTTCTTGAAATTCTTACAGATTATTATACTTCGTACGCGAAACGACCTCAAAATGGCCGCCGTGTACTAATTTTGTACTATCAGAACAAGGAAAGAAGAGGGAGAAAGACGCCATTTTTTATTTAGCTCATTTATAATCAAATATAGAACAGTAATCTGCCTTTTCCGCGTTATTTGCAGAAATCTCTTAATTTTTTTTTATCAGTGATAAAATGTATTATTAATGTTAAATTCCTAAATAATTTGATAATAAATATATTGCTAGACGTAAGTTCACTCAGGTTAATTAAAACTATATAAAAGTATTTAATTTCAAATGTTTTATTTATTAATTTTTAAAATATTTTTTCTTAAGTATTTGAAAAAATTAATTCATATATAAATTTAAAAAAATAAATAAATAAAACATATAGCTTATTTTCCCCAATACCAATTTTTTCTATGAATAAAAAAATCACGTATATAACAGTTTTTATTTCCTTCATTTTTTTATACTTGAAGTACAAATTAAAATTTTAATAAAATTTATCTTTAAACATTTTAAAATTTATTTTTTTCTTCAAATTATAATAAAAATGAATCGATAAAGTATTGGTGTGGAAACTGATAAAAACTATTCATTCTATAACTCTATTCACACATTCTTCATTCTATTTAATGACAGAAACTGTTTCCAGTTTTACTAGAGTCATTCAACCTAATAATTATGATTAATGAATTAGACTTAACAATAATTAATACATTATAATTAATGACTCATTAAACTACTTAATTAGTTCATAATTAAATGAAGAAAATCTTATCTAAGATAGAAGAGTGGTTAAAATTTACTTTGACTAAGGGGGAAAGGAGCTGCTCCTTAGTATTGTTTCGAGTGTGATATTTTTTAAGCATCCGATATTTGTTCTCGATGACAGCATTAAAATATCAAAAAGCGCGGCAGATGGTAATTACACGTAATTTTATTCTTTTAGATTTAAGGGCATATATATATATATATATATCGNAAAAAAAGAAGAAGAAATATATATATATACACACACACACACACACATATACATATATATATATATATATATATATAGCGTCAGTGTCCAACTTATCTTATGTTTTAATTAAAATTAACTAACTTTCTAAAACAAAAAACGCATGCTCCCTTTTAACCCCCTTAAAAAAAAATTTTTTTTTTCATGTTATGCCCATTAAAACTATTACTAGGATTTGTTAATTGATCCGTTAAATAATTAACGTGTGACCGATAAGTATTTAAACAAATCTGGAAAAAAAAAAGTAGGACTAGAAGACGATTGTTGCGTGTTCGGGATGAAATCAGGACGCGAAAAATATAGATGGAAAATATAGAACAGAAACTAACGGGATTCGAAATTGAAGGAACTACAACACCAGCTATACTGTTATCTCTACGAGCTCAATTTTTATTTTTTATACCTATAGCTATAAGTTTTGAATGCGTTGCATAATTATTTCTGTTATGATCTTGAACATGTTATTATATTATTTATGCCGTTAAAAGAAATTCTCAGAAAAAGCCATTTTTTATTGTGTGCCAAGGATACTATTAAAATTTCCAGCAAAACTAGAAAATAATATTTCTGACATAGAGTAAGCAAAAAATTAAAATAAATTATACAAGCTCAATAGCTTGTGTTAATTTCTCCAACTATACATACCGATTCTTATTCTATCAACTATAAAATTCATTTACTCCGAAAAAAATTGCTTACAAAAATATTATAATTTGTTTATTCAGTGTTATGATTGTTTGAAGTTTTTTTTAGTGTTTAATGAATATTAAAAGGTTTAATATCATGTTAAACTACACAATTTAATGTATTTTTTTCATTTTATTATTCTTTAGGTATTATTAAAACTATATTTATAGATATTATTATTTATAAAATTGCTTAGTTTAACAAGAAGTAAAATTAAAAATCAAACTAAAATGTCTGTTTTATTACTATTGTTTAATTTATTCTTATTATTATTTCAGTGAAATTATCATTAAAAATGTATGTAGTTTCAAAATTACAATTTTTTCTCTACTTTCTTTTCAGTTTGTTTTAATCTATTCTGTTTATACTTTTGCAGTAAGTATGGTAATTTTCTTCGCTTAACTTTTTTGTCATAACTTTTTGTACAATTCAAATTTAATTTATTCTACTCTCTCACTTCCCCAAAAGCGTTTAAAGCTTTTTTTTTACTTGCTTTTATTATTTATTTTTAGTTAGTTATTTTTCAATGGAAGGGAAAAAATTTATTTTTTTCAAAATATTATGAATTTAGATTTTTTTTTTCATCATAGTAATGATCATTTAAAAAAAATAAATAAACTGTAGTATAAAGAACTACCTGTACTTACGATTAGAGAATGACCTATATGTCGTAATAATAATAATATGTTTCAATAATTTAAATCTCAAGTGATGCTTTTGTTCAAAAAAAAAATTTCTAAACTTTTTTTTGCATAAAATAGATTGATTTTAAGCTTTTTTGAGATTAATGCCGATAACTTTTATTTTGACAGAATCAACACAAATTTTATTAATTATATTATTATAAATAATTAACTACTCCATCGTAAACCTTAATCATTCATTGTCTTGAATAATTAAGATTACCACCAAAAATTTTCCAGGATTTAATATTTTCTTAAATCATTTATTTTTATTTATGGTACAACAACAAGTCTTGTAACAAATAAATAAGAAATGTAGTGGAATGTAACAATGCTTCTAATAACTTCCAATAACAATGGCGGACATGTAAAGCAAAATCATTAATATATATATATATATATATATATATAACCCTTCTTATTACTGCCCATGTCTAAAGCAAAGCCTTAAAGAGGATTAAAACTGTCATCGTGATTTGACCATGAATAGGATTGGCTGTCAGTACGCACGTGATCGATGATGTCTTAATGACCTAATGAGAAATTGGAACACTCTTGATCTCCACAATTTCAGTGGAATTCATGTTGCTAAATCCGGCGTTTTAGCAACTTAGCAAACTATTTAAGAAATTTCGGTAATGAGCCATGATAAACACAAAATAGGAAAACTGTTGAATCCATGGGAAAAATATTCAAAGTTAAATGGCGCTTTCCAATTTGAACAAATAGAAAATTTACGTGAAAGCGAAGGATTAAATTGTAAAAAGATGAATAGAATATTATTTTGGAACTTTCTGGGTGGCTCTTTTCTCNTTTTTAATATAAATACCTATAAATATTGTCTAATGAACTAGTTTAATAATTGCATACTTTAAATTTCTTTAAAAAAATTAACAAAATATTCATCTAATTTTAAATTAATTTTAAACTAAACTAATTTTAACAGTTACCTGCAGACAAAAAAAGGTAAAAAAAGGGGCGTGGTCAAAACTGAAATGGCCATAACTTCATCAATTTTGCTCTTATTCCAGAAAATTTTTTTTTAAAATGTTCAGTTAAATGCCTAAATTTCAAAAATATAAAATGTAAAATATCGATTTTTTGACAAATTTTTGCTTCTTTGAAAGTCCCTTGTCACCTTAAGCAATTTAAATTTACTTCAATAATTTTATTTATTTCCTGATTTTCCTTTCTATTAAAATAAAAATACTTAAAGTACATTACGTATCATTTACAAAATCAGAAAATAAAAGAAATTGAATAAAGTAAATAAAGGTTAGTGAAAAAGAAATTACGGAGACTTTGTCCTCTCTTTATCTCTAGTATTTCACTTGACTTACATGGCTAGATAGCAGTGTATACTCTAACATATAGGCATCGTGCTATGCTAGATAAGTCGTATCACCATTTAAACACTCATTTATTCTAAACTATTCTGCTGTTATTACTTTTTTTACTGTTATTTTATTTGTATATCATAGATGTCAAGGACACTATTCGTTATAAAAGCGCATTTTATTTAAAAAAATTCAACAAAATGGATGGGGTTATATTACATTTGTTATGACGTATTATCTTACGACTACGATGTAATTTTGATTTTTTTCATTTGTTTACATATTTTCATATTTATTACTATTGTAAAAACGATATTTTAAATGTAGAAGCGGTTTTAAGATATTCATTGTATCGGTAACACTTTAATAACACTTTGTCTAAAAGCACTTTTTATAAGCTACTTATTCCTTATTTCATCACCTTTCCTGTTAAAGTTTCCAACTATCTTCTCAGGCTAATTTTCCCAAAATCACCAAACTTTTGATTTTCACATGAAACAAAAAGAATGATTTTTTTCTCAAAACTATTTTAATCTTGAATCTCACTTATTTATTTCTATCTTAAATAAAATTGAAGTTATACTTTAAAAAATATGTATTCATAGGCCGGCATAGGTCCGTCTGTTTAGTCTTATGCAGCCAAATCCCGCTATAAGAACAGTCTGCGGACCCAGCAATAAGTTCAATATAAATGAGGGTTCACTATTCAATGAAAAAAATATTTTTTAACATATTTCAGCAGTTGAAATTAGTAATTGCAACAGTGCATAACTTTGCTTAAAAAATTATTAACTAACTAAATATGTAGAGTCATGGCTACAATAGTTTCACTACAGATAATTTCTTCCAATAACAAAATTTTAAATCTGAGCGTTAAAAAACATTCAAAATATTCTCCATATAACGAAGCGGTTGTCTCCCAATAACGACTTTTTCAGAAATTTATCTTCTGAATTTTTGTTATTACTGGATTTTTTTAAATGTCTACTTTTTTAAAACAAAATTGTAATTAAGAGTCACTACAACCGATTCGTTCTCTTATGTGTCTGTTTTCTTGAATCCTCTGACATTAAGTTTATTAAATTAAGCTCATTAAGTTTACAAAATTAATTTTATTAAGTTTAATAAATTAACTTTATTAAATTAAGTTTACTAAGTCTGAATTATGTATTTTCGAACTTATTACGTAGACTAAAATTTTGTAACACTTTAAAGGAATTACCAATTTTAGCTGTTCGTTGTAAATTAATAACAGATCGGACGGGTTATATTCTGTTATAACTATTCTAATTATAACTCTTTCAAAACTGTAATTCTTCATAGTCAGTGACTGTGGATTCGGTGTATTGTTGGAAGTCTTCCCGAATTTTGTTTTGCTTTCGTTTATTAAGTGCAATTTAGCAGGCTAATTAATTATTTAGGCCTAATAAATTGAATGCTTCTGTGATGAATTTTCTATATCTACCAACTGAAGCGATGTCAGCAGCAATGGCCAAGATTTATTGTAAAGTCTTCTGAGTTGGATGGTTTCTCTCGTTGTGAAACCATACTCTATGATAGCTTTTTCTAGTGTCAGGTTGAACAGCAGGTCATCATCCTGTCAAAATCCTCTATCTGTATAGACTTGCAAAAAAACCGTTCGCAAGTTTCACGTTCCCACTACAAAATACAATTCCAATTCACTTATTCACTAGTATATAAGACATGTTAACTCGGTTCTACGTGGGAATACCTTTTCATAGATGAAAGATGACATTGTCTCTTCCCACAAAGTTGCTCTTATTTCAAATTCTTCCATAGAGAAGTCCGAAGCTGCACTTAATCACTTGAAGGGAATAAATCAATCAATTATTGTTTGCATCATTCCTATTGGACGATTCATATTACCATTCCAATAGAAACGTATTCCCATTGGTTGCAATGTAAACTTATTGATCATTGATGGATTTCCAATGTACGGGTAAGTAAAGTTGCGTCAACTTAAACATCTCTATTGCTTCGTTAAGGCTGTTTTTCGAAGGCTCCGTTGTAATATGAAATTATGCTTTTTGCGAATAATAGGCTGTTTTTATAACTATTGTGTGTTTACAACATTTACTGAGGACTGATAGGTCAAGTTTAGCCTATATGAAGCCAGCGCTGTCTACGCTTATTTTGAAAATGGCGCAAAGCATCAATATGGAGAAACGCCACAGTTTTGGAAAAATGAAAGGTGTTTGTGGTCTAATTTTTTAATATTTAAAAACTTACTCCAATGCTGCATTATCTGGACTCATAAAAATTTGCAAAAACTGAGAATACGGCAGGGATTTTGATAATTTACATCTAGGAGGGAAAATGTGGCTGTGGCTAAATAGGTGATTTTTTAAAAAGTTTAATGACTTATATGATATTTAAATAATTGGTCTGTTCTAAAGTTCAGATAATTCTTCACGGCAAAATTATATATATAGTTTAAAAACATCGCACTGCTTCAAGTGTAAGTCATTTAAACTATGACTTTTTTATTTTCTACAGAGCTTCGAAAAACAGCGTTAAATTTCTGTCGAATATTGTTGTCGTACTTAGTTTTAATATCGATAAATAGATAGCGTGTGTAGACAGTGAAATCTTTTGTTTTCTCCAGTATGTGTCTCAAAGTATAAAGTAGTTGGCAATAGCAGTAAATGACTTTCGAATTATTAACCCTTTGTGGGCAGAAAACTTTGAACAAGAAGATTTCTTAGAATTATGGTTATTGTATGCTCGCTCAAAGTGAGTGTTTTTATTATTATTATATTTTTTAAGCATTTTAAATGCTCGGGAAAAAGTCACATAGTTTAAGACATACGAAATATTACGGTTTCGGTGGTACAGATTGTTAAATTCTCGAATGACATTATTTACATATTTGTAGTATATTTTCACTATTTATCATTTTCTTCGTTATTTATTTAGTCATGAATTTATTTGTCATAATATGGTCTGCTACGGGATTTAAATTGTGCTAGCCTACTCCAAACAACTAGCGAATTTCTTTAGTTAGATATAAAAAAAAACATTCGTAAATGGACTCTTATTAACCTGATTGAATTTAAATCTAATTGTATTAAGAGATGGTGAAAGCAATTTCTTTTCAGGCCGGAGCAGCTGAAGATGAAGAACCGGGGGCTATAAAGAGTAATGGCTATTTCGTATTCCAAGGTCCGAATGGAAAACCTATTAGAGTCAAATATAGAACAGATGACAATGGTTTCCAACCTATACTTGGTAAGATATCTTACACATAAACCTGAAATTTAAGTAAAAGAATTTATAAAAATTGTTGCCTAACAATCAATTTCTGAAAGTTCACTGTAAATGTGTTTTCACTACTTAGCGACTGTTGAGACAGGAAAAGTTGCTTTACTTCTCAAAAGGTGAGAACAGTAACGTAAACAGCAGCTAATTTTGAATTCGATTGATATTTATGTTATATGCACTCAATATTCACTATTTATGCAACATATTTATATATTTATTTGAATAATAATTATTAAGTTGAAATGTAGAACATAAGATTAACTTAAACAGTAAGTTTATGGAAGAAACTTGGCGTTGCGTACGTTACTTGATTTTATATTTCACGCATAAGGAAACGGTGTTTTGTAACAGAAATATCTCACAAAAATATAGGAAGCACTGCTTAAAAAAATTATTTTAAGGATAGATGAATGAAAATAACTTTTATCTATTTTGTTTAAAATAATAGAGCGGTTTCGTACCTTACGCTTTTCAAATATGCATCAAAAATCTTTCACAAAATAACATAACTTATCTATTGCTGCCATTTGTTAAGAATATTATTAAGTAATTTTCCTCATTACACTCTTTAATCTCTTACTTTTATTTGTGAATGTCTAAACACTATTTTATTTTATTTATTTATTTCAATATATATTTTTTTTTATTCTTTTTATTTGTTCATTTATTTTACTTATTTATTTCAATATTTTATGTATTTTATTCTTTTTATTTTTTCATTTATTTTATTTGTTTATTTATTTATTTTATTTGTTTATTTATTTATTTTATTTGTTTATTTATTTATTTTATTTATCTATTTTATTCATTTATTTGATGTTTCATCATCTCAGTTAAAATCCTGAATGTCCAAAAGTTCGCGTAATTTATATTAATTATATTAATATCAGACAAAATTAATAATTTACTCTAAAATGTTGTTGTTTCTAATGACACTTAGGCAAGTCAAGCTTGACGTTTTGCTTATTAAATTAGGAAGGCACTCTTTTCGTTTGACAAGAGAGCACCGTAAGAGTGATAGTGCATCTTACTCAAGCCCCCATGCATAGGCCGCAGCACCACTCATTCGTGAGGTCACTTCCGCAATTTAGACGTAGTTCAGAAGGGGAAGGAAATTTTTTCCAGGTTCCTGTACTCATCGTACTGCTCAGCGATCGATTAAAGGTCTTTCGATTCCACAGATTTTACAATCACGTATGTACTAGGTGGGACTTTGCGAAGTTGAGGATCGAACTCCGGACCGGTGACCGATTTGCTAACTACTGGGTAACCATCTAGAAGAGAGATGGTTATGGTTACCTTCACCCTACTCTAAAATTTTTAATAAGAATGATATTGTAATTTAATTGTTGTCAGAGCTTACAGTTTTAGTCCATAGTTATGCTTCCACTTTTCGAGAGCAGCCCTTAACGCAGATTTGCCAACCAGGATGTATTAGCTCCCTACAACTTTTANTTTTTTTTTTTTTTTTTTTTTTTTTTTTTTATTTTTTTTTTAATTTCTCTAACATTTAAAGACATCACGTCAAACTTATCAGAGATTTTATATTTAAATTTGATTTATTTAAATGTCAAGGCGGACAAAATTACTTTAAATCAAATACGAAAACATGAATTACTTTCGACTTTTGAAAAAAAATGCTCTTAAAGAAGTTTTCGATCAAATTTGTAAAACTAAAGACGATGAAAAAAAGTCGAATTCGATCTATTTATTTCAAAGAAACAACTTTAGCATTCTAAGCGATTTCTTACAATTCAGTTCCTTTCATTCATTTTCCCTTCATGTTGTTTTTTTTTTCCTAAAAAGAAAGAAAAAAAATGGCAGTTGCATATTAACTATTTGTTCTGAAATACCATTTCTGTGTATAATACTGCTTAGATATATCAGTATCATATGGTGCTGAATTATTTGCCTATTAACTAAGCTTATTTGTCAGAAAACTAATCTTTTAAATTCAAAATCAGTTTTTTAAAAGTAACGTATAAATAATATATATATGATAATAATTTGAAATGAAAAAAAAAATTATTTTTGTTAATATCCTTTCTGCTTTGTCTTTTTCAGACTAGAATTATCATCATTCGATCTACACAAATGCTCGGCTGTGAAAAAGTATTTAAAGCACACTTAAATTGGATATTTTTCACCTTATGGTTTAAAGCTTTCATTTATTCTAATAATTGCATGAAATGTATAATGAATAACTTTATAATGAATTAATAAAATAATATAATCGATTTCTCTAGTTTTATTATTAAAAAAAATAACACTTTTATTAAAATGTTTTGAAATATTTTGCTTGCTTTGGTTTAATTTTTTTTTTTTTTGAATAAATAAGAAAATTAAAAAAAAAAAACTAAACTAAACTTAGGAAATTAAAGGTACGCAATATAAGCAATATGAATTTTCACATCACTATACATCCATTTCATGGGTGGGGGAACTGAATTCATTATGGAGATCACCACATAAATTTATCTCGTATAATAAAAAAGATTCTTGCCTATGTATGCAAGAAATCGATGAAAGTTCTTTTTCTCGTTAACAACAAATAACTGAAAACCGAAATATCAAGTGACTGAACAGTCATAAGCATGGAGAAAAGGCATCCATAAAAAAAAAGAAATGAACTTAATAAAAATAGAAAACAAAACTACTTTAGAAAACAGCGCCAGCATTTCATTCAAGTCCATATTTTTCCCGCTAAGACATTCCTTTAAAAGCATTAAACCGTACATTTCTAGGTTGATATCCTTCAATTCAGTATTTAATTTAGTTTTATCCCTGATTTATTCTTAAACTGATCAAAAAATTTAAAATTGTCAGAATAGCCCACTCTTTCCTGCTACTTATGTTGAATGACGTTGCTTAAATTCTAATCAATATTTTAGTTTTAATTATTATTATTCTTTCTATATTTTCATAACTTTTTTTTTTTTTTTTTTTTTTATACACGGATTGGTATTACAAAAAATAATACGGATCGACAATACGGTAATACGGATGGGTAATAAATGTTATACGAGAAGAGTTGAAGATTAATATGAGAATTACCATAGAATTTCTGAATATTTAGTTCTAGAACTTACAAAATCTTTACAAATATTTCTGAGGTACTATTAAAAATGCCGATAATTTTCGAATCACATCAAATGCTAAAATTAATCTTATAATACTTCTATAGTTAAACTACTTATATAATTTTTTTTTTCTCATTTGTACGTTTATACTTTTTTTAGTAATAAAGCAACCAAGTTAAGTTTGAATTAACAGGGAAACAGTCCAATTAAAACAAAATTCTTTCTTTTAATGAAAAAAAATTAAATTTCCATAAGAGAAATTTGCAAATTACTTTTTTCAATTTCAATCGTCATTGTCTTTATTTCAATTATATAAATTAAAACTGATTCTTTTTTTAAAATCCATTCTTAGAAATGTGAATTTCACTAAAAGAATTTTTGTATAAAAAATTCTAACGATTGAACGCCAGCTGGCACATATGGCCTAAAGTCTCTTTTACCTTTGCCTAATAAGTATCGGGCTTCCTCTTTTCCGTTTTCCGTCAGGCGCCCAATAAATGCAATGTTTTCAGGGCTATCCTGTTTTAAATGAAAAGTATGTCCATCCCCATCTTCTCTTCAAAATTTCCTCGTGAACGGGAGATAATTTTGCCTTTGTTAGTGGATATTTATTTGAAAATATGTTCGACCAGAAGATTTTTAAAATAATTCTTAAACATTTGTTCTGGAATGTTTCCAGTTTTTATTTTTCAGTTTTTCGGAAGTTCTAACATTGAGCACCCTAAAAAAGTATGGAGTGAACAAAAACTACTGTTGAAGTAAATTTAACAATTGATGTGGACAAAATCGTCACTTCTTACAAAGAGACACAAATTTTGGACAATTATGTGATTGTAAAATTTTTGCACTTATTTGTACTTATTGATTATTTATTACTTCTCTAAATGAAATGAAAATTAAAAATGTGCATCATTATAAAAATCATTTTACATGCAAAACTTAAAATAATTTTTACGTTCACGCTTTACTTTTGAAAGCCGAGGAGAATCGTTTCGTCTTTTTTTTTTTTTAATTTTTTTACATTTTACATAATTTGAAATAAAGATTTTAACGAAAAGAGGAACCAAGAAGTTATATTCTAGATACATATGAAATTTTGGGATTTAAAAATTTTAGGGTCAGTTCAGGGATTAGAAAATCTTAAAATTTTTACATGCTCCTCCGTGCATGTTAGTGTACAGAATGCATGCCCAAATAAACTGTTTACAAGCCCGAACATTTTTTTCGATGCATGCTTATAAAACCTTTAAATGCACAGATTATTAATCTGTTAAAAAAAAATGAAATGCTATTAACAACGTTTTATCCATATTAGCACTTTTATTTTAAATATAATTTAGAAGTATTAGATATTACTAACAAAAAAGTAATATCTAAATAATAAAGTATTATTGGCGAATACATGACCTTCAACATATAACTTTCAAATTATGTTACATACTTTTTAATCATTTTCTCATGCACAGTAATTGGGGTAAAACTTTTTTCAATGAAAGTAAACAAGACCAGGGAAATAATGAAGAATAGGCTAATTTTGCTTACTAAATTCTTATTTACATAATTCGAGTCAACAATATTTAGTTCTCATCAAATTTGATCCATTTTCTTTCTTCCTTTTTTTAAATGCAGTTTATTCGCTCCATCTGGTATCTTGGCGATTTTCATTCAAATCTGAGAGACACTTGATCGGTAGAGATCTAAATCAAAACTCAATCCCAACCACGTTGGCAGATGCAAATGCTTATGCAAAATCAAAACTATTCACCCCTTTAAAAATCAAAGCCCAAGATCAAATAACTAATCTTGACATCGATAGGAAGACAGCCACTACTCTCATCAGACTAAGAACAAAACATCATAAAAACATGAAAATTTCTACAGATAAGACTAGAAAATATCAAAACTGTGGCAACTGTCTTAATGTGGAACTGACACCATATCATGTTTTTAACTGCCCTGCAGTCGCTGCAGGCCTTCACCTTTTAAACTACCCCACAGAAGAGGATTTGTATTCTTTTAATGCCATAGAAATAACAAAAACTATTCAAGCACACCATGAAATATGATTCTATAGAGGATACGACACCAACCAACCAACTTGATCGGTATTTTACGGCATTTAAGATTGAATATTCACATGTCTGACCGGCCATTTAAGTGCTTTAATTAGAGTTATTATGACAGATTTAATTAGAGATTAATTAGAGCTTTAATGAAAGACCGGCTTATTAAGAGCTTTAGAGAACTATAAATTAAACCAAAAGAAAAAATAAATTCTATACCAAGCAGAACCTTGCGCTTTTTAAGAACACGGATTTATAATGGAAGGTATAGTCTAACTCGTATATAACGAGACCGGATACAACGACAACAATTTAAATAAATGTGCTGCTTAACGTTAAAAAAGCTTGAATAAACCACTGTTATAACGAGCATAACTCGGATTTATCGAAGAACTTTAAAAAACACATAATCTGATAGTGATGAAGAAGAGATAAAGGCGTTCTGCATTCTAAATTCGTCATAAATCTATCACTCCTTATCTCCCCCACTGCTGACCAGCCGAGTGGTGCTCTCGCTGTCCAAGCTCCCATCCTTTAGCGTCCACCATGTAAAAGGGGGCAACCACAAACGATTTGTAGCTTAGTGGGAATCTATTTCATTGAGGAACAAAAAAGCTGATAGTTTCTGCATCCGAAAGGAATACAGTGCCAAAGAAGAAGAAAAAGAAAACGGATCACCCTGAATAACCTTTGATCTAATGGTCTGATCTTCACTTTCCGGTTCAAGGGGATGATCTTAAATATGCAAATTACCTAGTGCAAGCGATGAAATCAGACACAAGAACGTACTTTCTCTGGATAAAGATAACACATTCGGATTTCTGATCCTCCCAAAATAAAAGGGAATCTAGGAAATAAGGTCCCCATAGTTTGGTTTGAAAGAGCGGTCCAAAGTTTTGACCTCTTAATGTTAATTCTACCTATTGCGTATTTCGCTATATCTCGATCATTTTTAAAGCGAGTTTTTTGCACACATTTATAAAATTCGTTTATCCAGAAATAATTCCAAGCAAAATAAATAAATAAATTTTAGAAAAAATTTATTGTTTTTATTAACAGTCTAAAAAATTTTGAATTGTAAGGTATACAATTTTTTACGTCATTTTATGTGACACTATACAAAATTTGAGCAAAATCGGTTGAATAGCTTCTGAAAAATCGAATTTAAAATAAGGCGTATATTTAATTTATTGAATAATATCGTATGATAACTTAGGCCATTTAGGGTTTAACGAGCCAATTGTCTTGGTCCTTATGTTCACATTATAAACCTATTCGGCTGCGATTCGAAGAATAAAGCTTACAAATGTTTTAAGATGCCCAGTTTAAAAAAAAATTTACGAAAATACACTAAAATACGTTCATATATAGTGTATTTTTGTAAAATATGTGCACAAATCAAAACAACTTCTAAATATGTAAAATTGATTTAGTTTTAATTCATTTTAAGTTTTTTCTTAGATTCCGTTCTTTTTTTTTCTTTGCTGTTGACTAAATTGTTTTGGTCAATAAATAATAAAAGTATTTCATAAACATAATAGACTTACTTTATTAAATCATTCGCTTGAAAAGCGCTTAATCGTATTTATTTGTTGTAAAATTACAACTATAAGAAATATTGAAAATTATAATTAATGTGTTAACTTGAAAATTATAATTAATCTGTTGACATGAAAATTACAATTAATGTGTTAAAAAGAAATGTACTACCTATCTGAATTAATTTGTTATCACAATGTTCGACTTTCTAAAAGAGAAACGTCGAGGCTTAAAAATAAGTTTTACAATCACTACGGACAAAATTAATATTTAATTTGTATGGAGATTTGTAATAGTAATATGTACTGAAAATCGAACATCAAGATTATTTTTTGAACACTTGCATTATAGCGTGCAGCAAAAAATGTTTATAATAACTGAACGAACAAAATTCTTAACTGAGAACAACATAAATATAGATATATCGTACATTGTATTTATAGAAAAAGATAAATTTTGATTAGCTGCCGGTCAAATATTTAAATAAAAAATACGATAATTTAGTTTTTATCTTTGCGGCAATATTAACATGTACAATTTGGCCTAGATCCAAAG